GCGGGCGGCGGGCGGCTGAACCAGGCGGGCTTGTGGAGCTGGGCGGTAGGCGGCGGCGGATGCCAGCTGGGCCTGTACCACCCCCGTCCAGTCCCCAGACTGAGGTCGGTGGGTTGGACAGGGGCCGCGGCATGGTGGCCGGACCAGGCCCGGGCACCACCCGGGAAGCCTTTGGTGGGAAAGGGACACGCTGAGATGCAACCTGCCGGGAGCCGCTGGACCCTCCTCTCCGGAGTGGAGGAGGGGAGGCCCCTCCTTTTCCTCAGCCTCCTTCTCCGAGGCATTAAGTGGGTGGGGGTTCTTACTAGGCGCGAGGGGCAGGCATTTTAGGTTTTGGAGGCCCCAGGTCGGCGTGTGGGGTTTGATCAGCGCAGGGGCGGTGGGGCGGAACATTTGGGTCTGGCATGGGAGAGCCAGGGCAGGTGGGCCTGGACTGGGTCCTTGGGAACACCGCCAGGGAGGAGTGTGGGGGAGGGGGAGCCAGGCTTAGGTTCTGGCCTCCTGGAGGCTGGGGCACTCCTAGGGGGTGGGGTCTGTCCCATCACCAGTGCAGTGCGCTCAGCTTGCATTCGTGGCGGTTGACGTTTGACAGTGATTGAGCGTGGGGATGGTGGTGGTGGTGCACATGATGGGTTGAAAGAAAGGGTTAGCCAGCAGAGGCTGTTTAGGGCCTGGACAAGTGCTGAGAGGAAGGAAATTCTGTTTGGCGGTAGTCAATGGAGGCCCGGGAGAGCAGGAGTGGGCTCAGCCAAGCTTCTTGAGAGAGGGATACCTGACAGTGGGCGTGTAAATGGAATGAATGTACCTGGGAAGCAGGGGCAGGCGGAACCCTGGAGCCCTGGTGTGGGCAGATGACTCCCTCAATACTCTGTACCCAATGTTGCAGCTCTGGGTGGTTGGGGGGAGTTGGTGTCTGTGTGTGGCCCTGAGGACCCTTATGTGGGTGCATGGAGGAGGCAGAAGGGGAGATGAGGCAGGGGTGCCAGTGTGGAGTTTGAGGGGGACTATGGTGTCACTAGGAGCAGGGTGAGTGCATTGCTGTCACGGGTGACAATTTTATGTCTTTGTCTAGACAGGACAGTAAATGGGGCCCTCACACCAGGTACTGTGGTGGGCAAAGGAGAGGTCTGGTTGGAAGTGACTGGGGCGGGTGGGTGAGGGCAGAGGGTGAGGGTGAGAAGAGGCCTGAGCCTAGGAAAAGACTGAGTCCTGCTGGCAGCCTTCCCGAGGTTGGTCCTGAAGGAAGGGGCCGTAGGGACTCACCCATTAGAGGAACTCCCAGGGCAGGTGTGCTGGCTCAGGGTGGAGGGAGAGGAAATGACAGGAGGTGTGTTCAGAATGGAAGACACTTGTCCAGGGCGATGGGGACCCATGGTAGCAGGGCAGAGAATGGTCTGCTTTGCCCTAGGTAGCCGCAGGAAGCGAAGAGTTGTGGAAAGAGAGACAGCTGCAAGGCCGGAAGGACTTGTAGGATGTATGTCTCAAGACTTGGATGACTGTCCATCTAGGGCCGGAAAACTCGCCCAGTGCCCTGTCTCCGGGATGGGGTCCGGCTCTCCAATACTCCCTGTGCACTTAGGGTAGAGGAGCAGGCTTGCCTCTCTACCCAGTGCAGCACCAGGAAAGGATTTCCAAAACCTCCAAAGAAGCGGCTTAAAGCCGCGGGGCTGGTCGTTGGGATGAATGCGGCCAGAGCCCGGAGGGACCGGCTCAGGGACCGGGAACGGCGGGGAGAAACCACTTCCGTTCCATTTCCTTCCTGGCGGTGGCGGGAATGAGATCTCGGGTTCCTCAGGTGGGGCTGCGGCGCCCTCTGGAGGCCCCGCTCCTGCGCTCGGGGTCCTGATGCTAGCCGCGGCGCGTGCGTGAGACCGAGGTCTCGGGCGCTAGGCGCGGGGACAGCACCGCGCGCAGGAAGCATCCAGGCCCCGGGAGGCTGCCAGTGCGCCGGGCCCACGCGACTCCGAAGTCTGACTTGTCTCTGTCTTTCCCAGGTTCCGAGCTCGCGGGCCGGGAGCGGCGGCGCCCTCGGGGCAGCTAGACCAGCTCCGCGCCATGCCCGCGGGCTGAGTGCCTCTGCGCGCCGCCGCGCCCTGGGACGCCGGAGGACGTCGTCCCGCCTCGCGTGGGTACTGTACGCGCCCGGGCAGGGCCCGGGCCGCTGACCATGGTGCTGCCGCCCCCGGACAGGCGCCACGTGTGCCTGACCACGCTGGTGATCATGGGTAGCATGGCCGTCATGGACGCGTACCTGGTGGAGCAGAACCAGGGCCCGCGCAAGATCGGTGTGTGCATAATCGTGCTGGTAGGCGACGTGTGTTTCCTGCTGGTGCTTCGCTACGTGGCCGTGTGGGTGGGTGCCGAGGTGCGCACGGCCAAGCGCGGCTACGCTATGATCCTCTGGTTCCTCTATATCTTCGTATTGGAGATCAAGCTCTACTTCATCTTTCAGAACTACAAAGCGGCACGTCGCAGCACAGCCGACCCGGTGGCGCGCAAGGCACTGACCCTGCTGCTGTCCGTGTGCGTGCCAGGCCTGTTCTTGCTGCTTGTGGCCCTGGACCGCATGGAGTACGTGCGCACCTTCCGCAAGCGCGAGGACCTGCGCGGACGCCTCTTCTGGGTGGCTCTGGACCTGCTGGATCTGCTGGACATGCAGGCCAACCTGTGGGAGCCCCCGCGCACCGGGCTGCCGCTGTGGGCCGAGGGCCTCACCTTCTTTTACTGCTACATGCTGCTGCTGGTGCTGCCCTGCGTGGCGCTCAGCGAGGTCAGCATGCAGGGCGAGCACATCGCGCCGCAGAAGATGATGCTGTACCCGGTGCTCAGCCTCGCCACCGTCAACGTGGTGGCTGTGCTGGCGCGCGCTGCCAACATGGCACTGTTCCGAGACAGCCGCGTCTCGGCCATCTTCGTGGGCAAGAACGTGGTGGCTCTGGCCACCAAGGCCTGCACATTCCTCGAGTACCGCCGCCAGGTCCGCGACTTCCCGCCACCTGCGCTCGCGCTGGAACTGCAGCCGCCACCTTCACAGCGCAACTCCGTGCCGCCTCCGCCACCACTGCATGGTCCGCCGGTGCGTCCCCACGGGCCCTCACCCACGCGAGATGCGCTGGACACGTGACAGGGCCCCGCGGACTGCAGAGACGCTGGACCAGCTGTGCGCAGTTTGCATGGGATGGGATGGGGCGGGCTCCCCTTGGGGACAGGTGCGGTGAGTACCTGTGCAATGCCTGGGGTACCTGGGGCCGTGTCTGCTTCTTCATCTCAGGAATCCCTCGGACCACGGACCCTCAGCCTCCACTCCACAAGCCCACCTCGATGCGCAGGGCAGTTTGTGAGGCCTGGTCCTGAGTAGCGGTGGCTCTACGTCTGCCTGCTGCCGCTGCCAAGGTGGGAAGGGAGGGCAGTGTTCCAGGAAATATGGTCCCATGGTGGGGCCCTCTGGCTCAGAGTTTGGGGCCGAGGAGGCCTCTGTCATTTTAAAGACTGGTGTTTACAGTTTTGTAACAGTCTGGCTGTTTTTCCTGTCCCATGACTTCCTGCCTGACAGCAGGACAGAGCGGCAAGGGTGGGTGAATGCTGGTGGCCACGGAGCAGCTAGGTCCCTCCAGGGCCTCTCTTCAGCTGCTTCTCAGGAGTCCCTGTGTGGGGTCCACTGCGGCCCTGTGCCAGAGACCTACCCCTCCAGGTACTATGACCTCCTTTTCCTGGGAGAGCGTGACACCCCCTCCCCATCCCTCATCTCCTCCACCTCCATCCAGGCCTCATGCCCTGCCTTTCCCTTCTCAGGCTCTAATGTGCCCCTGTACCTGCTCCCCTTTCCCATACACTCTCTGCCTGTGGGTGACTCTGACTCAGGACTCCCTGTGTCAGATGGGATCAGGTGCCAGCTTTGTTCCCAAGTCGAAGTGCAGCCTCAGCCAGAAGTAAGCAGTCTGGCCTCATGTCACCCCAGTTTGGCCCTGCCCCAGACACTGGACAGTCCCGCAGTGTCCTGGCCCAGTACACAGGCCCCGAAGTCTGCCTGCAGGTGGTTTCTTCCTGACCTCCACTCACTGTATCTGTGGTGACTGTGAATTCACCAGGTCCAGGATGGTCTCTGTGGCATCTAGGGCGAGGCCTTTTTTTTTTTGTCTTTTTGAGACAGGGTCTCCCTGTAGCCCCAGCTATCCTGGAACTCACTATGTAGACCAGGCTGGCCTTGAACTCACACACATCTGCCTGCCTCTGCCTCCCAAATGCTGGGATTAAAGGCGTGCACCACCACGCCTGGCCTGGGAGAGGCCTTTTTAATGTTTTAGTTGTTAGCCTTAGCCTTTAACAGCTGTGCTATCCCTCCAGCCCCAGGGAGAGGACTTTTTGAAGCTGTAGTTTATCCATGAGGGATGATGGCTGTGTATATTCCTCTCCTGGCACCCGTAGAGCCATGGAGGCCCATGTTCTGCCAGGCCTGGGCTCACTGAATTGCCTTGATCCTTGCACTCATCCTCTGAGACAAGGATCCACATTCCTGCTGCCCAGAGCAGGCCCAGTTCCAGAGAGGTATGGACCTAACTCTGCACAGTCGAGGACCCTCTGCGCACATCCCAACTACAACAGCTCTGGGTCCCCAGGGGCAGATGTAGCACAGGGACTACTCATGGCTATACTCTTGATATGATAGGGTATGGCCAGTGCCCCCCCGACCTCCATACTGGGCCTTGGTCTTACCTCTAATCATACTGTCACCAATGCCTGATAAGCACCCTGCAGGCCTTGGCTCTGGGCTCCAGACCCGTAGGACACTGCAACCAACCAATCAGCCTCAAGGAAGTGGAGGCCTTGTGTTAGAGGACAGTGGCTCAGGAGCTCGCACAGGGTGTGGGGCTGGCTGCAGGAGGTCGCTAGCTGGTGAGCAGGCTCTGGCTGTTCTTGGCTCTGTGCAATCTTGGTAGGGAAGGCAATGGGTTGGGCTCAAGGGATGAGTTACAGTTCTGAGGGTTGGGCTGTAGCCTGTCACCTTCTGAAGCTAAGACTATCCTCTGTGGCTGGTCTCTTGTCTCTGTGGTACCCTTTGGCTAAAGGGGTCAGTGATCCTGGCCCTCTTGGGTCTTCCAAGCTTGGAGACAGGATGAGACTATTGACTGTGTCCAGCTTCCCTTCTCTAGCTTCCTTTCTCTCTCTCTCTCTCTCTCTCTCTCTCTCTCTCTCTCTCTCCCTCTCTCTCTCTCTCGCTCTCTCTTTCTTTCTTTTTTTTTTGTCTTTTGAGACAGGGCCTCACTGTGTAACCCCAGATGGCCTGGAAGTCTCTATGTAGACCAGGTTGGCTTGGAGCTCACAGAACTCTGCCTGCCTCTGCCTCCTGAGTACTGGGATTAAAGGCATGTGCTATCATGCTCTGTCCTTCCCTGGTTCTTGAGGCAGCCTGAGTGGCCAGATGTAGTGGAGGAGGGAGGCACAGGCCCTCTGTTCCTGTTAATTCATGCTTGGCTCCCAGATCCTGGTACTGGGCCACTTACCTTGATCTGAGACCCTCAAGAAAACTGGATATGGTGGGTATTTGGGAGAGGCACCGGGCAGGGGCTTGTGTTTTAGTTTCTAGTTAGCAGGTGCTTCAGGGATGTAAGAGATGAGTGGTGTGAATTGATTAGTGTTGGGGGAGGTTATTGTGCGAGAAACAGAGGGCTAGGGACAGGGACAGCTGTGGTCATGGCAACCCCAGTTCCCATGACGAGGTGCTGGGTGAGGGAGTTTGTGTGGACTGCAAAAGCAGACTTGGAGGCCCACTGCTTGTGGGGTAAGTTGGGGTGGAAGATTCCTCCCAGGCCAGAGCCCCCAGGGTGCTCACCGAGAAGCCTGAATCCTGGCTGCCTTTGGATTTTGTGCCTGTCTCAGAAGAGGATGACACTGGATACATAAGAATTAATCAGGTGAAAGGCCAAGCCCTTCAAATGGGGAACCAATCAGCAAAGGAGGCCCGAGGGGAGATGGGAGGGTTGGCTCAGTGCTGGCGGGGGTGCTGATAGGGTGGTGCTGGCTGCACTGGTGGAGTTAGCCACTGGAGAATAGTGTCCTTATGGGGATGGGTAGGGGAAGGAAGTGCTCCCTGAGTGCCTGGGCAAGAGTTGGGATGTTAAAACAGCACGTGCAGCCAACTTGTGGCAGGAAGAGACGTGGGCAGAAGGGTCATGTCCTGGGGCAGTGGCTGGCCTCAAGTGCTGTGCCCAGCCAAGGGCCTGACCCACCTCTGACATCATTGAGAGCCTGTCCACCCTACTTCCTCCTCCCAGTCAAGGTCACACGCTGCCTCCAACTACCGCGGCAAGAGCCAATCAAGGGTCAGAGGAGAAACTCCTATCTGGATACATTAACTGCCTGTGCACATGTCCCAGTGTGGGACCAGCATGCTGTGTGCTCAGCCTGTCGTTTCTCACTACTGCAGGGAGCTTGGCCTCCCTAACATCTGAGGTGTTAACCAGCACCCAGTTGGCGCTGTGGTCCTGGAGCCTGGTCTTACCCAAGACCTCCTCCCACAACTCAGGCTCAGATGCGCTGTTCCAGGATGGCCCCTGACCTCCTTCAAACAAACTAGAGTTAACTCCTTGTCTGTGTGCAGAGCAGGCTGCAGCCTTAAGGGCATCATCATCTCCAAGGTCTTCTCCTGGGTTGTGTCCCTGGGACCTGACTTTGTCCATTTTCATGATGGGGATGGAGAGGAGGTTTTTGCCTGAACGGCTATGCAGGCATGCAGCAGCTGCCTAGGCTTGGGTGTCAGGACCACCTGGGAAGCATCCTTGCAGTTCAATGGGGCATTTCTTTGGGACACTGGATATGTGCTGGCATTATGCAGACAATCTTAGCAATAGACCTGATGATAGTGATGGCTTTGACAAACGGTGAGCTCGCAGCTCCTGCAGAAAACTGGATCAAGCTGCACAATATTTTTTTTTTTCTGAGATGGGATCTCATTATATAGACCAGGCTGGACTTCAGTTCGTAACTCTCTTGCCTCAGTCTCCCTAGTGTGGTGTGCTGAGAATTCCATTACAGGTGGCACTATTTTATCATTTAAAATTTACTTTATTTATTTTGTATGTGTGCAGGGGCATGTGGAAGTCAGAGAGCAATGTGTGGGAGTTCTTTCCTGACACTGGCTGCGTCCTGGGGATTGAACTCAGGTCATCAGGCATGATAGCAAGCACCTTTGTCTCTGAGTCATCTTGCTGGCCCCAATTATTATTTTTCCTTTTCAAAGAGATGTGTTTTATTTAAAATTATGTGTGTGTGTATCTGTGTGTGGTTATGTGCATATGAATGCAGGTGCCTGAAGAGGCCAGAAGAGGGCACTGAATTTCCCTGGAGCTGGGGTTACAGGTGATTGTGACTGCCCATTGTGGGTGCTGGGAACCTAACCTGTGTCCTCTGCAAGATCAACAAGTGTTCTTAACTGTTGAGTCATCTCTCCAGTCCTACTTCCCCCAATTATTACTTTTTGAAATGAGGGTTTCGCATTGTTGCCCAGATTGGCCCTGAACTCCTGGGTTCAAGTGATGCCCTTGCCCCAGCATCCTGAGTAGCTAAGACTTACACGTACCACCAAGATGGGCTTGTGCAGTATTTTTAAGTTTTTTTCATTTAGACAGGGTCTCATGTACTGCAGGCTGGCCTTGAACTCACTGTATAGCCAAGGATGATCTCCTTCTGAGTCTCCTTCTACCTTCCCAGTGCTGGACTTACAGGCATGACCACCACGCCCAGTGCTGGATTTACAGGTATGCACCACCATGCCCAGTGCTGGGGATCAAATCCAGGGCTTCATGCATGCCAGGCAAGCACTCTACCAACTGATCTACATCTTCAGCCTCATTTCTTTTTTTGAGACAAGGTCTTCCTGTAGCCCCAGCTGACCTGGAACTCACTATGTAGATCAGGCTGGCCTTGAACGCACAGAGATCCACCTGCCTCTGTCTCCCAAGTGCTGAGACTAAAGGTGTGTGCCACCACACCCAGCCTCAGCCCCATTTCTTTAAATGATGGGGCTTGTGTTTCCTCCTCTTGGTAAAGTCACAGAATAGCCCTAATCTTACTCCTTTTCTGGTGCAGGGGAGAGGGTTTTACGTACTACGGCTCCCAGCTACACCTTCCTCTAGTCAGGCTTCGGCAAGGGGGGGCGGTGAGGGCTGCTACCAGCTGCTGTGTGCCAGGCACTGGGCAGAGTCTCCAAGGACTCAAATGTCGTGCAGTGTTATTGATGCTATGTTGGGTAATGTCAGAGGAGGTGGGCTCAGGTGATCTGTGTGGGGAGCATCTGCCAGGCCCTCACTGTCCCCCTCGGGCCTGTGGGCAAGGGGAAGCAACCTCCAAGGGTGATGCTCCACTGTCTGCTGGGTGGGGATGAAGTACTGTGTCTCGGGCCCAGGACTCTGTCTTCCCTGCCTCAGTGACACTGTGACAAGCTCTCAAAGTCGAATCCCAGGCCTGACCAGGCATTGGGGCACCAGAGGAAGGTACAGAGACCATTCCCAGA